AGCAGCAAGGATATGAGAAAGTAGCAATCATTGACAGAGAGAGTCATGACAATTGTTCAGGTTGTACAATTCTGTCATAGGCATCTAGAGAAGAGAAAGCGAGACAAATGTGTAGCAGTAGGCAACAGAAAATACATCAGTGTAAGGTAATGAAAATGAAGTTGAAAATGAGAGAATTGGCTATCTGCACAGTGCAGCCCTATACTGATTTCATGTGTCTGTACCATGCTTGCTATCACTTGGATTCCTGAAAATCTACCAGTTTTTACCTAATACCACTCCCCAACAGACTTGGTGCAAGTACACAGTGCTACATGGGAGCTAGTACGAGTTCTGGCAGGGCACAAGTACTTTTGCAGGAACCACACGGCCTTGCAAGGTGGGAGCTGAACTGCAGTTAAGACTGGAGGACCCTAAGCTAAGTCTGTACAGTTATTACTTCACATAAGTGAAAATCTATATGGACACCTTCTGAAAATCTGTATGGACACCTTCCGAAAACCTGTATGGACACCTTCCGAAAACCTGTATGGACACCTTCCGAAAACCTGTATGGACACCTTCCGAAAACCTGTATGGAACTTCATACTGCAACTGTTTGCTTATTCCAAGACAGCCAAAAAGTCACTGAACAAAAAAATCCAGTCCTCTATGTTACCTTTGGATGTTGCTATGCAGGATGAAGTCAAAATGAAAACTAAAGAATCTTAAATATTTATTCAGAAAAGAACCACTTCAAATAGAAGCCTTTCCATTGATAAGAATTAAGTAATGGAGACAGAGAACACGTTTCCTCCTTTGCTCTCACTTCTGTAAGACCTTTTTGCCTTTTTTTTATTTTTATAACATATTAATGTAAGTTCTGCAAAGTAAAACACATCTGAAAACAATCCCAGGGAATCCAATATTATTGGAAGCATACAGCTGTGGCAAATCTAAACTCCTAGAAGGAAACTGTTCTAATATTCCCCCGCCCCCAACCTCTACCTGTACTGCTTTTACTATTAGCTTGTGTTCCAAGGAAAACTGCTTGTAGCCTTCTCAAGCACCTAACTGTGGTGTAAGGTTTTCTGCTACCACTTTTTTGAAGCAGAAAACTTCTGCTTCCTGGCCAAGCTTTTAGGCTGCTGCCTCCTAAGCACAGGGAATTTGTAAATTCAAGCCTACTGAGACACAAACTAGACACGTTAGCAATGACGACCTACCTTTCTGAAAGCAAAACAAAATTTACTTGAAATGCAGTTAAGTACATAAAATAACATGTGCACAATAAGCTTGGCCTCTGTATAGGCTACCTCAATAAATTAGACAGTATGAAATGTGATAATAGTATTTATGTCTGTTAGCTATGTCAGTGCAAGTATTTTCACACATAAAGTGTCCACAAGCATACAAGTTTTTCAGTCAGAGATATCTGCTAGTGCTGGTAATCTGTCTCCACTGCTGCGGCTTTTTCCATCAACTGCATTATGCACTCCTACAGCACAGGAGTTCACTAACAAAATGGAGATTGCATATAAAAATAATGATTAAAAAAATCAGTTCCACTGTATGTGCATATTTTTATTACTTTTCTTATCAAGAGTAAAAGACTTAACTAATCCAAATAGAAAGGGTATCACTTGATAACAGGATATCAGTCCTTAATCACACTTGGAATTAACTATTCTCTTAAGAAACATCAAGAATTTGAAAAAAAAACCCTAAAACACAGAGCCACCCACATTATCAAAGGATTTGATGAATTTGCTTCCCAGTAGGTTCTGTATTTAAGTCGGCTTGGAGGAAATTTCAAATTGAGATACTGAACTTCTTCTCATCTCCCACAAGGATGAACTTTCTGATGAGAGTTGGAATATATCAGAGCAAAACGGCACTGAAATATGTGTACACGACACTTTAAAGAAAAATGGGTTCACTCTGTACAGGCATAATGTTTTAACTATATCTCTATTTCTAATCATCTGTGGTATGTGAAGACAGTAGCTAACTGCCTGAGGCACAGGTGAGTCAGATGGTTTGCTCTGGAAAGCACAGCACATACCTTTGTTCAACCCAATGAAAGGCAGAGCAGAGGAACATATTGCTAAAAATCTTCAAAAATCCTTGTAACTTGTAGCAATGACAAGAATGCTAAAATCCCAAGTTCAAAGTTCTACATTTGAGGTGTAGCCCGGCACTAGAAGAAAAGCTACCCACAAGAGGTATAGGGAAGAATCAAATAAGCAAGAAACTACATATGTTCTCTTACAAGGAACACAGTTCTGATTATATTTGCTGGTAATTGCTTATTCAAATGTAACCAATACAAAAGCCTTGTAAGTTGCTGGGAGGGTAATTAAAAGTTGGCAACCAGAACAAATATATCTGGCTTCTTCAAACTCTTACTTTTGAGATACAAGACGACTGGGCAGGGCCGGAGGGGGATCTTTATTCTGTTGTTAAAAAGGTTATGTTTCAAATATTTGTTCAGGGCAAGCAGAGAAAGAATAAGACATAGGGTAGGGGAAAATGAAGCCTCTCCTCCCACCCCCTAAAAATACAATTTAGTATCTTTAAAAAGTCTTCATCATTACGTTAATTGAAGTCTTTACAAGCAGCAAGGATCAGATCATCTTCTATTTCTCCTCTCACAAGCAGAAAGAGCTACTAGAAGAGTTTATGTTTTGTAACATGTTTTTGTGGACTAAGAATTTCTATTTCTTAGGAAATACTAGACAATACCACCAGAACAGGTATCACTGGAGCACAAAGCAAATGCGCAGCACCTACGTTAGCATACAATTTATACTCATTATTATCTTCTATTAAGCACCTGAGTCCATACCAGCATATCTCAGCATTGTGTTTGGGACTAATGTTAGGCAAATGAGTTATCTGCCAACACGTCTTCCAACTCGGTATAAGAGACACCCTGCTTAGTGTCACCGAATGTTTGTTGTATTATCTCTAGCTTAGTGCAAATGAGAAACATAAATCGAATTATAACTAATAAAGCAGGGGATACTACATGAGCGCTATAATACTGACATATTACTAAAACTTTCGCTTAGGGATTTCCACAAAGATCATATGTTGGAAAAGGCCAGAGAACAGAGAACATAAAGCCAAAACATCATGAACTTAAACGTCAGCAACACATAACTGGAATAACTCTACCATCCTCTACTGAAGCTGAAGTGGCCCAGGACATGAAAAACAACAGCTTTCTGATGACAAAGAACTGATTGACACTCAATTTGTACAAAAACAGTCCGAATGGTGCACTTTCAAGAACACAGAGACAGTGGAACACTCCACAAGCACCAAAGGCAGAGTTACCTTGAGGTTAGTCTGAGACTCATGAGTGAACTCCTTTAGGAATTAATACCACAAGAATTGCAGGCTTCTGCTCAAAGCATGCCACCACACCTACCCATTTTGCCACCCAAGCCCTGGGAAACTGTCTAGCTGAAACTAGCAAGTCTTTCCATATACAGTTATTGTAATGTGTTTGATGTGTAAACACTTGGTACCAAAGGGCTTGGGTGCTGTACACCAAGAAAGATAAGTAGCATGACTGAAGCTAAAGCAGAGCTAGGAATTCAGTTCTACCTGTCTTTCCTCACTCTAATATAAGAGCTGGTATGATATGCTAAATTTAGACATGGGGATAAGGCGAAAAATCTCAAAGAGAATCCTAACTTTGGATTGCTAGGCCTATTTTAATCATGAAGAATAAGCATCGAGGCAATTCAAGCAGGTAAACAAGCACATTAAGTACATTAATACTTCAACAAGAAGGCTTTAATTAAAACAAAGCTGTGCAACAGAATCCTAAAAAGCCAACGCACCATCTTGTTTTATCTTCTCTCTAGGGATGGAAGCCTAGAGAGAACACGTGACATGACCATCAGTTTATGTGCACTACAAGGCAGCTCCATATACTACCATAGTAAGCAATGTTAAAAAATATTTGGGCAGCCTAACAAAAATACAGATAACAGCCATTCCCAGCAGAAAAAAATTAACACCACTATCACCAAAATCGGCACAATTGTTCTGTCCTTCTCATTTTACCTTCTCATAGAGGTTCCAGTTCCCTATGTGCTGGGATCAAACCTAACAAATTATCGACTCCCACAATGAACATAAATAGCTTTTACAACTAATTAGACAGAAAACACTTCTTCAAACAAAAATCAATAATGTTTTTTAAAAAAAACAGAGGGGTAAACACAAGTGTTTTGACAGTTATTAATCAACCATTTGAAGAGCCCTACTTTCACCTAAACTCTTAGGCTGCCTTGTCCACAATAGTGTTTCTCCCGAATTAAGTCACACAGCCTACTATTCACCGCAGCCTTATTTTACATGCTCTCTTACAACAAGGCAATAGATGTTCGGAAAAACTAACTATAGAGAGTTTCTCATACCAGAAAAAATAGTTATCAGCAGTGAGAAACCATGATACAAGATGGAGAGCAATGGTGAATTTAGCTATGGTCCACTGCAAGGATACGAGGTTGAAATTAACCGAACGAGGTATATAGATGGACTCTCTTCTGCTGCTGTGGGCTGGGAACGCAGAACAACACCTAAGGCAACAGCTTCCCCTCCTCCAGAGATGAGGGAACATGAAATGCTCAGTCTGAAACTTAGAGCTAGGCATACCTATGTGTTAACTCACCAAATATGTCTATAAAAAAGCCCGCACAGGTGCCAATCCTGTAAAGAGCTACTTATATATCTATATAAATATATATATACATAGTCATACAAAGACAGGGTTTTATATGAATTCCAGAGTGATCTTTCAAAACTCTCACTTCTATATGTAGCCTTGCTTTCCTCTTCCTCAACCCATATCCGCATGGGGAGAGGCAGGGAAATTTATTTCCTCTATTGGTGCCTCACGCCACTTTATTTGATAGAAAGCAGCAATAGGGGCACTCAACACTGCTCAGTTTATGAAATATGATAGATCTTTGTGTGAGAACTACACAACTGACTTATCTCACCCTTCTTTCCTTCACCAAGTCTGTCTCTGATAGCTGACCAGTATCATGGCCTCTTTCTGCATCCACTACCTTTGCATTCCTGACACGTGCAAGGGGACCAGCGCTACAGCGGGGCACCACAGTGCTGAGGGAGAAAAACTGAGGAATATTGGATACAAAATGAACGTTTCTGAATAACAATCACTTCCATTACAAAGAAAAAAAAGCAGTTGTACAGCCACATTTATGAAAAATGTGTCATGTGCCGTATGCAGGCCAGCATATGAAGTTACCTAAAAGGAAATGCACTATTAATTCCATTCTACAGAAAGTATACTCGGCATAAGCTTGTCAGGTTATAATTTTTAATTATTAATCTCTTTGATTTGAAAGTCTCAGATTTTGCACAAAATTAAATTTTTACATTTTTAACCTCCAAACTACCACATTTTGACTGAAAAACAAGGCAAGCCAGCTTTAAAACCAGCAAAGGAATCCAGCCCCTGGCCACACCCTGTCATCACTGGGCTGGGACAGAGCCAGCGTGACAAAACTTGGCCAGACCCACGTGGGAACCCCGCAGACCAAACCACACGCAAGAAGAAAATGCCAGCCGTTCTAGTCAGCAAGAAGTATACGTGCAAAACTTCAACAGCAGCCTAACAGGCCCATTGCCACGCTAGACGATTTGCAGATTTCTAGCCTGATGTTGCACCACATGTTGCAAGTGTGCATGCGGGGTGGGGAATCGACGGAGAAACTGAGCGTTGTTTGTAATTTAAGAGCACGTTCGCTTAGTTTACGCCAAAGCTTGGCAGGCCCAGTGTTTGAGGCACCCACTGGAGCCG